TTTGTGTTTCAGCACGGAGGGCGCACCGTATTTCCCCGTACGCAGCAGTTCTTAGTGTGCTTTCTAATAGAATTACAAGAATGTCTGCAAAATATACAAAATACAGATATATCAATGACTAGGTGAGTACTTATGATATTTTTAATTGTTATTCACAATAAATCATTTGTACTTAATTATTATTGTGCACTTTTCTACGGTGGTAGATAGGATTTAAATTGTGTTCCATTTATAAAGTATTACTAAATAGTAGGCCTAATTAGTAATAATGTATACAGTGATACCTCGAGATACGAATTTGAATTCAATTCGTTTCGTAACTTGGCTCGCATGTCGAAAAGCTTGAATCTCAAAGCAATTTTCCCCATTAAAATTAAGTGAAAAGCTATTCATCCGTTCCAGCCCCCCCCCCCCCCCCCTTTTCAAACGCCACCACAAACTGATTTATAGCCACCAGCCACAAACTGATTTATAGTAGATCTATACCCCCTTCCATCCATTGTTGATTACTAGATCTAGATCTAGCCACGCCAATGATTTTTCTCCATAACAAGAATCAAGACCTTAAGTGTAGTTATTTTTTAGTTTTTACTTAGATTTACGAGAAATAAAACTTATCAAGTTGCCATTTCATTAGTCCATTGTCTGACCTAATTGTAATGGATATTTATTTTTTTTTTTTAAAAAGACATTCTGTAAAATTATGTTTAAAAAAATATTGTTTCTTGAATGAAGTTGAATGAATTTTGTATTTTATTCTTGTAAAAGTACTTGCTAGTGATAATAATTATTCAATGTCAACTTCCGGGATCAAAATTTTTATAAACATCAATTGTCGATTCAATTGTTGTTGCCTGCCTAACCTAGGCCATACACATAGGAAAAGAGTTTTAAAAATCTAGATCTAGGCCTTGTGGAGACCTAGTCTAGATCTAGTAGTAGTAGTGTGGTCCTGCAGTTTTTCTAACACTACAGGAGTTATTGTTACAGTAAGTTGTATCACAGCTTCCTAGTGTTTTGAGACTGTGAGAACCTCACCTGCCAACGACTGTCGATTTTTCGTTCATTTTATTTTTAGTTGCTAGTTTGTCATTCTAGGCATCTCTAGTGGCAGCAGTAATCTTGAAATAGAAAAAAACACGTGACAAATCTAGATCTAGAATGATAAAAATTAAGAAGGTTAGATATATGATAGGACTAGGGCTTGTTTTTAGCAGTTTGAGGGATAAGGTTATCACTGACATTTATTAATAAATTATCAAGCCGTGTGTGTGTGTGTGGGGGGGGGGGGGGTTGTTAGTAAATTGCAAGATGCAAAATGGGTAGTGGTGATATGCAAGTCAAAAAGTGCCCGGTATAAACTCCATTTCAGCGTATTTTATTCTCCGTTGCTTGTTTACCTCCAGTTGAGCGTATTTTATTATAACAACCGAAACACACCAAATCATTAGGAAAACACGATTTATTTTTTGTATTGTATTTCTGTTTTCACAAATGAATAAAATGAATGTTTAAAAAACATGACTTATTTATTTGTAATGTATTTTTGTTTTAATAAATGAATAAAAAACAACAAAGAGACTGACTGAAGTGATTTGTTTGTTGGTTACAAAAATAGAGATGCACACTTTGTACAATTAAGTGTTCCAATTTCAACTAAACCGAATAAAAGTATTAAAAGGCACAATGATGCTGCCGAAAGTGGGCCGAGGGGGGGGGGGTGGAATTTGGTGAGGGATTGCTTGGAGTGTTAGAGAAAGTGTGACAACTCACATTGTATTTTAAAAAAATAATGTTAGAGGTCGTCCATAAATGACGTCACACTCGTAGGGGGGTCTTGCTTTTTGTGACGACACGCTTTTTTTTACGAGTTTTACCTCCCCCCTCCCCTCCGTTACACGTCGTCACAAAAAGTCAGACCCCCCTAAAATGACGTCACACCTCAGCCGACAACCCCCCCCCCCCCCCCCCCTCAAAATTTCTGTTGAATTTTTCTTAAAACATCGATAATTTTTCCAAAATCTTGTCAGAACTCTGTCAACATAGAGTATTTTGATCAATAAATATTACAATTGATTAAAACCGTTTTCTAAAACGCGAAATAACGGCTAAATCTTGTTTTTTCTAACATTGCTTTTTTATAATGCAAAAAAAGGGACGTCACACCATCTGAAACCCCAACCCCCTCCCCCTCATCACACACCGTCACAAAATTGCTGACCCCCCTCTCCCTTACGAGTGTGACGTCATTTATGGACGAGCCCACGTCAATTTTTTTTTAAAGTCAGAAATTTACTCATACAAAAAAAGGAAGGATGGTAGATTTACTATGAATTTAAATAACATACAACTCTATTGTAAAATATTTTTTTCAGTTTTAGCAAAACTGTCAAATTAAAAAACACAGAGTTTGTACATTTATTGCATAAATACAAAAATATAAAACAGAATGATTAACAGTGTATCAGTTTCACCATGAGACAAATGCCTTTTTTTTTAAGTACAATACAAATAAACAAGTCGTGTTTTTTAAATATTCATTTTTATTCATTTGCTAAAACAAAAATACAATACAAAAAATAAATCGTGTTTTCCTAATGTTTTGGTGTGTTTCGGTTGTTATAATAAAATACGCTCAACTGGAGGTAAACAAGCAACGGAGAATAAAATACCCTGAAATGGAGTTTTACCAAAGTGCCCTATAGTTTTCATGCAATCCTCGCAATTTACCAACACATGTGTGTATTTTTTACTTAGGCTACTACTTAGTTATTAGTTAACCACCGGGAACCGAAGATTCTTTTATCAGACACTGGTATTTAAAAAAATGGATGATTCTACAAACAAACGGCAGAACCCTATCGTAGCTATCAAGGTCACTGCGCTTGCAGAACCATGGGGTCATCCATAAATGACGTCATGCTTTTTTGGATGATATTTACCTCCCTCTATCACACGTCACAAAAAGCCAGACCCCCTCTAAAATGATGTCACACCTCAGCCTACACCCCCCCCCCCCCTCAAAATTGCAGTTTACTTTTTTTTTAAAACATTGATATCATTCTAAAATATTGTCTGAACTCTGTCAAGTCAATTCCTATTACAATTTATTAAAACTATTTTCTAAAACGCTAAATAACATCTAAAATTCATTTTTCTAATATTGCTTTTTTATAATGAAAAGTGTGATGACGCACCATCTGAACCCCCTCCCCCTCATCACACACCATCACAAAATTACAGACCCCCCTCCCCCCTATGTGTGTGACGTCATTTATGGATGACCCCCATTGAGTTTCGTATTTTCTGCCAGAAAATCTTTTTCCGAGTATTCACTTCGATAAAAATCCCACCCCCATTTTAATAATTTAACTTAGGTGGTAGTAGTAGAATCCCTACATAAGAATGGGCATATATTAACCAAAAACCATAATTGTGGAATCTATACCACACTCTCCAGACAAAATAAATGCTTTTGTTATTGTAAGACATTAGGCAATTCCTAGTCATTTATTGCATGAAATGATAGCCGACTGGTAATAGCCATACGCTGGTAATAGCCTTGGCCTTGTAAAATTTTGAATTATAAAAAAGGGTAAAAAAGAATCAGGCAATTCAATAAAGATATCTAGACAAATTTCACATTCTAATTTAACATCCCAATAAAATTAGTCCTAGTTATCTAGTAGTAGACTTAGTCTTAGACTATTACATTTAACATAGCAAAATATTTATTAAAAATAGAATTAGCAAGCATAACCAACACAATTTGATTTAGGACCTGAAATACCAAATTAGGATAGGCCCAATGTGGTTTAAGTTAAGTACAAGACTACATGATACATAAGGTATCAGTAACATCCCCTAACATAATTTTTTGTTAAACCTTGCAGATTGATGTTGGCTAGTAATGTGGTTTGTAATGGAGCAGGTCCAAGAAAAATACAGACTCTCTGACAGATTGATTCGTGCAATTAGCAATTGGCAGTTAAATGATATGGACGACGATATTCATGCTTTGATAGAATCTGGTTTGTAGATTTTATTTGTTGTTTTACTGCAGATTTTATTCAACTTCAAATATAAACATTGTAGATTCATTTGAAACAACCATTTAAAAAACAGATTTACTTCACTTACAAGTAAGACAATTATTTGTCACAAGCAATATTCTACAGCATATTCAAGTTTTAAACCAACTTAAAAAGTGAGAACTTTAAGAACTAATAAAAGAACATTTTACAATTATTTTTTTCAGGAGCTGATGTTAATCGAAGACATGGTACACTATTGCCACTTCATTGTACTTGTATGGTAGGTGACTCAGAGAAATTAAAACTGCTTCTCAAAATGGGGGCTCGGGTAAGTTGTTGAGTCATTTGGGCTCCCCAACCCCAACCCTCTTGCCTGGTTTTCTACTATACCACTGGCTGCAACATTTTTGAGGCAGATTTTTTTTTCATTACCTTAAATGTTTTCAGAAAGTTGCAGACTTTCTTTCATATAATATTTTTATGACCTATATAGGGTTTAGGTGTTATTAAATCCAATCTTTATTTCTAAATAGCTGAGGAAAATTACAGATTGAATTAATATTTGCACTTGGCTTAGATTATACTTGATATTTATTGAGTTAACTGTATGAACAAGGCAGAAAATATATCCAGTTTTCAACATTCAATTGTTGGGGACTATTTTCCTGAATTTCATAGTAACAAATATTGATCTGTTATAAATCAGTCTCATTGTTAAAAATTTTGGAATAAAAAAAAAAAGTACCAGAAAATTTCATAACAAGTAAATTGTAAGTCAACCACACCACACATCTAAAAATATACACTTCTGAAATATTCCTTCAAACTTTAAATATCTATAATTTAATATCAGACCTGTGCTACTAAATCATTGTTACATATACTTGTGAAATAATTATTAAATTTACAAAATTACTTCTAAAATTATTATTGCAAATAGAATTGATCTTATCTTTCAACTTAAAATAATGTTAACAAATTACATAGCTCATTGTTCTATGTCCTGAATGATTTGCTTTTGCCAAATCTTAAGTTGTTTGACATATACATCTGTGTATTCAGTAAATATATATATATATATATATAAATTTGCCTCTTGCTTGAAAAATATTTATTAGCTTAAATATCCAGGCACTGACAAAAAAAAATGCATTTAAATATGTTTTTTTAGGTTGACGACGTGGACGGTTATGAAAGAACAGCACTACACTATGCAGCTGAAAGAGATGAAGAATGTGTTAAAGTATTACTTGATGTAAGGAACTTAGTTTTATATGCATGCTTATTGTCTTGTCGTTATTGGTACATCTTATGTTAATATTTTGTGGTAGATGTTTCCATGCTCACTCATTTTTTCACCATTTCATCAATACTGAGACATTGACATGTTTTGTATCATCAGCATGGGGCAGATATCAACAAAGGTGATGGTAACATGGATACAGCACTTCACTGGGCATGTTACAAAAATAATCCAGGCTGTGTACGCGTGCTTTTAGAATATGGGGCTAACATCAATGCTGTGGATTATAATAACGATACACCTTTAAGCTGGGCAGCAAGAAAAGGTAGGATGTGTTAGAGTGTTACTGAAATGTAGCTTATAGTTGAATAAGCTAGTGTATTGTTACATTATTGTATTCATGTTTTAACGTAAATAATTCACCACCTTTCTTAGGAAACTTTGATAGTATCAAGATATTGCTGGACTACAATGCTGATGTTGATATACGTAATCTCAGAGGCAATACAGCACTACAACGCTCAGCTGGCATTCAGGTTTGTTAAAAAGTTTCAACTACATTTTGTGGTCATTTTGAATATTTATTTAATTAATATTTCTAACATCAAAACATTTATACTGCTGAGTTTTAAACAGTTTTCTAATTAATACCTTTTTTAATTAGGCCAGTGGATTGAACAACGAACAGGATGATGCATCTCTAGAGCTACTAATTAAAGCCTCTGGTCAGTTTGATCTGCTTAATGATGAAGGTCAGCCAGTTCCAATAATTGCCAGTGACAATCGACTAAGTGAAATATTGCGGCCTCTATGCCAGACACCTAGGCCTCTCCTTGACTTGTGTAGACGGCAGATTCGCAGGTCTATAGGTCCATGTTACTTGCCTAATGTGATTCCTTCTTTGCCTGTGCCAACTAAGCTTCAAGAGTTCCTCTTGTTAAGAGATAAAAAAGATATTCTAGGCGTTGATGGGAAGCCATCATGACACATGTAACGGATTAAATAAGTGTAGAGAGTATCAAGAACTGTGTACAACACATGAGAACTATTCTTGTAATCTTACACATCTTCCAGCTGATAGCAATACTCATTACATCTAATACACTAAATCCAACTTATCTAACTTATGTTCAGGATCATTCCTCTTGGAAACAATGCACTTGTTAGGTTGTGACATTCAGTTCTGAAAACTAAGTTACTAGGATAACTTGATTACATAGCACAGAAAGTGACTAATTCAGCAGGGGATGGATTATGGATTATTTCAATGCAGTGAAATCATGGTGGACAGCCAGTGATCATTAACCTTTTTGCTGTTAATTACTAGAAGTATGTATTTGCATAAAGTTATAAATGTGAAGTAAATGGCAGGTATGTCTTCAAGACTACCGCTTTATTGTCATGATGCTTGTATTGGAGAAAAAAAGTATTGCACACTACAACTACAATACAAAGTAGCAGAAGATAATTTATTTTCTTGAATTTTGTTTTTTCATGTTAGCATTGATTTCCCTGTGAATTTGTATGTTAAATTCTTTAACTTGTATGACTTTTTAAAATGGCTTTGTTTTTGAAATAATTAGATCTGCAAAGCAGTAGAAGAGATATAACTATGGCATTAAATGGAAAAGAGATGTCTGGTTCATAGGTGTGTTCTTTTTACCAAAGATCATGTCTGCAGATAAGTATTGTTAAGCTTTTGTCCATTTAGTTGACAAACAAAATAATGCTCAGCACTCCTAAGCTAAGAGTATAGAGCTGAAAATAAGACCTAGTTGTGGAGGTTTTTTTGTTTACTACCACATCTTTTATTTACCACAAAGATCAGTCAAAAATACAGTAAAAAAATGTAACCTGAAGAAATAAAATAGCCTAAAATATTTTTAATATGGTACTATACATTATTTTTATTTTGAGGCATTCCTGTTAAAATAGCTTAAAAGCTGTATGTATATTCAGTGGTGAAATATTCATACACTTTTTGTGTATCCATTTTTCCCCTTTTTAGTAGAAAAATTTAGTATTTTGTCTGCCGTCTCTTTGGTAATTTATTATCTAAATAGTTCATTGCATTTTCTGAGGATTAACATGATTTAACCTCATTGTTTGTTTCACTTACCATATTTGACTGATGTGTAAATACATTCATTGGATTTTCTGATGATCAACATGATTTAAAATTTGTTTTGATGTTTCAATAGCCATATTGAACTGATGTGTAAAAATGTTCTAATGATCATTATTTAAAGTTTTGATGTTTCAATAGCCATATTGGACTGATGTGTAAACATTTTCTGATGATCAACATGGTTTAAAATGTATTGGACTGATTTGTAAATACTTTCTAATGATCAACTTTATTTAAAATGTATTGTTTTTATGTTTCAATAGCCATATTGGACTGATGTGTAAATATTTTATATGTAAGTTGACTTAATTGCTTTATTGTGTGACAACTTGTACTGACTACAAGTACAAAGTTTGAAAATGTTTGTATTTGGTCAATACAAGAATTTCCTTTAAATAATCATTGATGATACCAGTGCCCCACATGCATAAAGTTTACAAGAAGGTTGACCATTATAACTGTGGATCATTATTTAGTACATTTAAAAATTGTTTTAAGTTGCATTATACTTCTATGTGGTATGTACTTTGAACAAGCAATATTTGAACAATTCATTTTAACTTATGTTATGGGAACAGATTTAGTCTTTGTAATTTTATTAGTGTTACTGTTATTATTTTAGCTAAAAATTGTAATACTTCTATTGTAATAGAAGTAAGAATACTTATAATTATGCATTATCATTTATTAATTTTGTTTATGCTTTTATTTATTTTTATGAACTGGTACCACTCTCCTCTGAGGAATTGTTATTGAGCTTAACCAGTTGTTAATATTTGCATTAGAAATATTTCATGTAGCTAAATTGGTTTTATCTAGAAGTGTTCTAAGTTCAGAATAAAATGTTTGGACTACAATTATTTGCTATGTTTGGAGGTAATCCTTATAACATTGGCTTGTTTAGTGTTGTATTAATCATAGTCTGCTAGATCATTTATTTAGTAATATTAAAACAGAATTTATTTTACTTCATAGTGGTCATGTACTTTACTGGTATTTTTGACAGTCATTAGATCTAGTTCAAACTTCCAGAGTCAGAAACTGACAATTCTATTTTGTAAAACTCTATAGTTTGTTGATTCTTGGAAATTGTATTCAGCAATGTGGTTTCATTTGTTTTATGATGTATTTTTTTTATTTATTCACTCAGCATTTTAATAAAAGATATTTTATTGTAATGTCTTGTTTGTCAAATATATTAGATACATACTTTCTTAAACCAGTGGGAACTGAGAATTTTATTTTTAAAAATCAAGACTGATGAAAACCATTAAAAATTTCAATCAATAAATCTTTTAATTTATGAAGCAACTCAGGACCAAATGGAGGGTTTTCACATAATCAAGCAAACCAATTTGAAGCTTTATACAGTGGCTCATTAAACCCTTCAAACAAATTTCATCAAAGTGTAGATACTACTAACTCCACCACTAAGTACTAAATGAAATTACAGTTCCCGTAAAACCTAATTGGTGAATTTACAACAGAAATCATGTCTAACAACCCAGGATACTTTTAAAGTCAATAAACAAAAATGAAAACCAAATGATCAAGCACTTTCAAATTTATATCTTAAAAATACTTTTTGCATTGTGGTTTAACTACAAGCTTTGAGATAAACTGGGTTTTGACATCAGTATGTTACACTTTAACTTATTGGAAGTTAGACCTGAATGACAATAAAATAAAACAAGCAGCCAAGGCTAGAAAGAGTTCACTGTTGTAAAAGCATTTGGAGAGAAGAACAGACAGACATTTAAACAAACACTAACAACACTGGGTTGGGCCTGGATCACAATGCCCCTGGCGTGTCTTCAAGTTCTAAAGTTTCTAAATCTTCCTCTATCAAATCTATATCATCCCCCGCAAACAAGTCTTCATCAATGTCAATGCCTCCATTTACTGTGGCACTAACTGCAGCAGCTATCGCAGCATCTGTTTCCTCCTGGAGTCGAGAGTCAGAAGTTGATGAAAGGGCAGCTGCTTCATCCAATTTACTTGATTCTTCTAAAAGAAAATTTAACAGATTACTCAAGGAAAGAGATTTTAAAAACTAAAAATTTATAAAATATTTACACCTTTTAATTAAATGTAATTTTTGTGCTCATGAATACCTAACAGGTTTAGAAGATTCAATTTTTATTTTGTTATATTTTAATATAAAATGTGCTACATGATCTGATATAATCAAAAGCTAAAAATACTTGCTACATTTTTCAGATCACTGGTCACAGGAAGTAATAATAAATAATTGCAAAGTAATTTATGTTATGTATAATTGTTTCCTTGTAAAGTGTAGTTAAGCTATACAATTTCTAATTTTAAAACAAGAAATAAAGTAAACAAACTAGTATCAGTATTACCACGGGCAGCTGTTTGTTGTATATGTAACATGGACTTCAAACTTTCAAGTCTGTCATCAGCAGCTTGTGTCCCTGTATTGTCCACTTCTACTGCGACCCACTGGTCATCTCTAATCTCAACAACCTTCAAGCTTTCTTCTTCCTATCAAGGTCAAGAAAATATAATTAGTTAATGCTCATCCTATAAATAAACTGGACAATAACTTTGTTCAGCTCACTATTTAAAAAAGCATATCACAAGCATTTTAGATACTTTGTTTTAAGAAAGAAGTTTTTAACTTGCTTAAAAACTGCACTAAAAACTATTGAGATTAAAAACAGAGAATTTTTTTCTTTAAACGAATCACTGGAAATCGTAACTTTTAAAATTATTTTGTTAAATCCGTTTAGTTGGACACTTTCTGCCCACATTTAAAAAATCAAGTAATCTTTAATCAACTTCTCTGTGATGCTAAGATTTCACATTTCTAATTTCAATATAAATAAAATAGAACCAAAAAGAGAGCCTACATCTTCCTCTCTTTCCCTTTCAATTTCACCCTCTTGGGCTTCATCGTCATCAGCAAGAACAAGATCAGGATTGAACTCAAACATCTGACGACCACTGATCTGTTATAAAAAAAATTATTAGATATAAATCACATTTTATTTTCTTTGGTCATATATTCTTTCTTACTTTACTAAAAAAAAGGATAAAATTTGATTTGACTTACTCCAACTGTTCGCCCAGCCTTGTAGTCAGCTTTCTTCTTCTCCTGATCTAATATGTGCTTCTCAATCTTTTCTCGTTTCTGACAATTAAATCTTTCATCATTATTGAACGCTAAGCAATAATAAGGAGTGCTAATTTAATCAAAAGTTTTACCTAATAAAATATTTCAAAGTTATAACCATAAAGAAAATCCTAATTATTTAAACAAAAACTATTACAAAAATATACCTTCCTCTCCTTCCAAATAAGAAAAGATTCTAATGTTACTTTTGTAACATTTACACCCAATGCAGCTCTCTGCAAAATGATAAAAATATACACATTGTTCTACACACTTTTAGAGAATTCACACAGTAACCATAGTTAATAATAAAACTCAATACATTTGCCTAATTTTATTTCACCTAATTTTAAACTTCATATTTTTAATGTGAAAAAATTGTAAATAGCAAAATTGTGCTATTGTCTAAACATAAACCTATACAAAAAAATAAACTATTTTTCATTATGATGGAAAATAGGTTTACAAGCTGGTTTACATAACCTATATCACATTTTTTTTTCTTAGAGCCAAAGTTAAGTTTGAAATTTTAAGAATACTTAATGAAAGTATTCAATCAAGCACTGAATGGCATTCATCATTCTGGGAGTAAGTTAAACAAGAAAATATACTGGCAGATGAGGTACTATCCAGTTATAAGACAACAACAGCAAATACCTCTGTCTCCACCAAATCTTCTATTGATATCTGATCATCTTTGTCATCTTTCTTCTGATCTTTTTTCAAAACAAAACCTGAAAAGAAAGTGGTAAGTGATAAATTGAATCATGTGAATTTATTGACTCTAGCCTGTGTTATTCATTCAGGTAAATACATCAAGAAATTTTATACAATTAAAAGTTATCCAAATACTAGTCTTATACAAGTATTACTCCTTTAAACTAGTCATCCAAACCCTTTCAATAGTATAGGTGAATAACAGTAATAATTGTATAAAAATCAGCAGTTAAAAAAATCAAGTGTGGTACCTGGTGGTAAACAATGTCTGTAGATACATTTAGCACCATTTGGACATTCCCAGAACCAACCGTACTTATTGCTTTCAACAGCATCAAGGAAAAATTTGCAAATCTGTTCAAGAAAAAAGCAAAATGCTAAGTACAAAATACTTTTAACATTTCTGCATTAAAAGATTATCATTGTCTGCTCCTATAAATAAGCCTATAAGCCTATAAAATTGTCCAATAAAACAGAAGTGAGTTGACTTACAATAGCAGTTTTGAGTTTAGCTTTATCACTTTCACCATGTTTCTGGTTGATAACATCTTCAAGCATGGCCTCATCCCAGTTCTCCATGGTATCTACAATAGTTTTTTTTTTAAATATGTGTTTTTTTAAATAAAACAGCCCTTCCTTTAATGTTTACACTGTGGTAATTTAAAATATGTATAACAAAAAGAATTTTATGATCATCTCTTGTACTGAAAACGTTTCTATTTAGTGTATTAAAATTGTCAACAAGAATTTATTAGAAAACAACATGGCAAACCTTTTTTGTCTTCATAGATATTCCTTTTTTCTCCACGGCGCTCAATTGTTAAGTCATGGGAAAATTTGCATTTATCTCCTTTAGTACACTGGCCTTGTTTGAAAAATGCACAAAGTACGGACTTGGGATCGACACCTGTTTGGAGAAATAGACAAAAAATAAAATATATAAGATATGCGCACCTAAAGGTTCAACATTCAAACCTTTATTCAGATTTTAAATAAAAGGTAGATTTGTAAAAAAAAAATTAAAATTTTTAACGTTTTTCAGTACAAACCTTTGGCAACTGTCTGTGAAACAGGTTTAAAAAGTGCATTTATTTCTTCTTGTAACTTTTTCTTTTCATCCTTTTTGTTTGTTTTTTCAGCCATTTGCTGGGCCTCAAGCTGGAATAAAAAATGTGTTTAAAAAATATTAAAATAATTTTCAGGCATTAATGGATCTCATAAAAATAGCTGGGTTTGTAGAGACAAGTGAACTACTTACGCGACTAGACTTTTGATTCCCATGCACAACTTGCTTGGTGACATTTTGAATGAACTTTTGCTGCTTGGCCCCCTTCTTATTTTTCAATCCAAAAGTTTTGTCCTATAAACAAAGAAACAATAAATGTGTGGTAGGAATTATTATCATCCAGTGATCTGCTTTGTAAATGATAAATATTTTAAGATAAGGCTGATATTTTTTAAAAACAAAAATTAAACAAATACCACAAACAACATTAATCATAACACATTAATTAAGAGGGCAAACAATACATTATTAAACTGAAGAATTATTTTCAGGTTTTAAAGAATCTTTTACTATCCTGTTAAATCTTGTGGAGCAAGAGGCGGCTTCACCTCTCCACCGGACTGTTTTGAGCAGCTATCTTAAATTTAGCACATTTATTGAGGAGGCCTATGTCTATCTAAACTAACTTTGATATAGGCTACTTATTCATATATGTATGACGGAAACAACCTAAACCTTTTCAGCTTATACTTTATGCACATCCAAATATTCATGATGTATTATGTGTGGATTTTAAAATTATTTGGATCAAATAAGTTTTGTTTGATGAATAGCAAAGGAATAATAAATTTCATATCCTAATTGGTCAATGTTAACGTATGCAGCGCAGTTATCAATATTATGTGTTCCAGGTAGAGTGTCCTTAATTATGTAGGAGTGTATAGTGATTGCTGCTCTATCTTGTAATTCTAACAAGAAATGCTTCCTACTTTCCCTTTCAATGCCTACTAAGATCCAGTGGCCCTCATGGCCTTGTTCAGAACAGTATTTCAGAGGAAATATTACTTCATCAATTTCTAAATTGATGGATTCACTGTTGATATCTGTTCCACATATTTCAGTCACATTAAATTGCAGTAGTTGCTCCGTTTGATCACTAAGATTTCTGCAATATTTGCCTCATGTTGTACTGTGTCCGTAAGTACAATATTATAACAGCACGTTAAAGTGTTAGATGGCTGTTGTAAAGAATCCATTGTCTTGAACCACAACCATCAGCTCACTGCCTGTTTGTTGCATTGTCCAAAAAAAACTGAATTTCCAACCAGCCAAATTGTGACCCATGTTTGCAATTGTTGAGAAAGAGTTGACATGCTCAAAACTTCACCAAGTAGATCTATGTCACATGCAATTATCGTATTGCTGGCACAAATAAGGTTGGCACCAATGATCTGTCTGCCTTTAGCCCTTATTAAATATAAACAATGCTCAAGTAAACAATCATGAATGGCTTTACAGTCACTACAACTGCAGCACTTCTGGGATAATGGCAGATGCAATATTAATATTCATTACCTATTCATTATGGATGGTGACCTGGGAATATTTTTAAATCCAAGCAAGGAAGTTGACAATGACAAAAGAATGGTGAATCAGAAAAACCTGCTTTTATTTATTTTAAGAATTCATGTACTCTGAACCAACCAGTGTACAACACACACACAACAAACGTTAAAGGACCTGTATTAAGTAGAATCTAACTAGATCTAGATCTAAATATGGACACACTATCTTAGAATGGGACGGAGTGGTCTAGCTAGCGGTAGAGAGCTGGACTGCTAACCCATAAGTCTCGAGTTCGAATCTGGGTTCAAGTCAGTAGACCGTCCCTGAGTCCACCCAACTCTGATGGGTACCTAACTCACGTTGGGAAAGTAAAGGCGGCTGGGCATAGTGCTGACCACACTATCTCTTCATATGCCGAGGTCACAGAAACAAGTGAACTCTACTTCACTTGTCCCATAGACCGTCATGTTTAAAAGGGAAACTACTTTTTTTTTACTAGCCTATCTCAGACTTATGACATCCACTATTCTAACACTAACAGCAGTTAACTTTTAAAGTTTAAAGTAAGACCTCACACCTCAATTATCTTATCCTTTTTTTTCGCTTCGGTCTTTTTACTGGGTTCATTTGGTTTTTTCTTTGGTGGCATTTAACTGTCTATATGAAGTAAAAAAGAAGTAAAAAGTACAGCAGAATTGTATTGATTGGAAATTACACCACACAACTCAACACGGCGAAAAACCGGAAACCAAATTTATTGGTCAGACTATTCACCGAGAAAATGTGAATAAATTTATTAACTTAGCCTACACGTTTAAGTTAAACACAAGACGTACCTTTAAAACGGTCCGTAACAATCGACTTCAACAACCCGCTCCCGACAAAAATAGCCCCGAAGAAAGGGCCCCTACATAATGGCTCCCGACAAATGGATTCCCGACGAATTGGCAACTGACCAGTGGTTCTTCCACACCTTTTTCTCCGCGGGGGGACTTGATATTTTCGGGGGGGGGGGGGGGGGGAGACAACATTCTCCGAGGGGGGGGGGATGGCGCACACTGAGTATATGTTTTTCTTTATAAATTCCATTTCGTTCGGTGGGGGGGGGGGCGGTAGACTTTCTTCGGGGTGGGGGGACAGACCCCCCCTCCGAAGAGATGCCTGAAAGAAACTCTGCTGACGAATGGGCTCACGCAGTAGCGTTTCTAGTTTCTAGGTCGGGTGTCAGGTGAACGTTGGTGTCACTCAGCCCCCCCCCCCCACCCCGATAGGTCTAAACTTTGCCTGCATAATATCAGTCGGCTATTAATACAGCTTGATCTAACATTGTTTCTCTATGGTCAGCTAGTTTACATTATGATTTCACTTTTCTCTTTTTATTTCCATACTAGCGTACCCACCCGCCCCCCCCCTCCCCCCCCCCCCCCCCGCGCGTTGCCGCGGGGATAGAAGAAAGTCTGACGAAATATATTAGAAGGATATCACCAATGCATTACCAATCATATGTTCTTAAACGCGTGTCCTTCTTTTCTAAAACTGTGTTATTTAAATGTAAACAATGCTTGCGCTTGGATAATAATTATCGGGACACGGGTTTTCCTACACTACCGCATGAAAACCTTGAGTGTACATTAATCACTCACCGAAATAATGAGGTAGAACACACTTCGGTGACCACCCATGTGTCAGGGACGTAGAGGGGCGCTCTCAGGAGCCCCCCACCCCCCGTACGGCCCCTGACTCCTTAAAACTAACAGGCGCCATCATGCTCATAGGATAACCCAGCGTGCCAATAGCATCCTGTTAATAATGATGCAGATTTCGCCATTCGCTAAAGTGACACAAATGAACAGATTTTTTTTCTTTAACACGTAAAAAAATTATTTGACGTGTTTTAAACATCAGTGTGACTGATGCAATATGCTAGCGTTACTAATGGTCTATTATTAGATGCTCGATCTCAATTTCTGACTGGATCGTCTAATAATAGATGCTTATTGCATCATTCGCAAAGTGACGAAACTCTACAGTAGGCTCCTGATATTCAAAAAGTTATTTTTTCATCTTTCGCAACGTGGCGAAACTGTACAGGATTTCCTCGCGTTACAAAGTTATTTTTAGAAGCCTGTTGTAGTTTTACTGCTGAATACAGTAGTACCCCTGCAGGACGCTCGATTAACGGATGCCAATGCCAACATAGTCGCTCTAAAACTTTGGGCGTCACACCGTGTATTGACGAAAATTGTACCCTACATGGCGCCGCCCATAAGAAACTTTAGTTTACTTTTTCGCAGAAATATTCTCGGGAGTATTCTCATCTACTCCCTTAAGTTTCATGACACTCGGATGAACCGAATCCGAGTTTTATTTTTTATATACCGTGTATAGAGAAAAAAATTGCTCCCCCAGGGGCACCGCCCTTGCAAATAATAATTATTTTTTTGTGTGCAGAACCCTACCTTTGAATGCTCTAATCATCTCCCCAAAGTTTCATGGTACACGGATGAACGGTGTGAAACCGAAATGGACTTTTAACTTTATAAACCGTATATAGACAAAAAACAAATCGCGCCCTGCCGGGGTGCCACCCCTGCGAATTTGAAAAGGTTTTTAGCGCAGAAACCTCCCCAAGAAATAAATTCAACTTCTTCCCAACGTTTCATGGCGATCGTGTGAACGGTGTCACAGCAATTCACTTTTATTATTTTTATATACGGTATAGAGAGAAAAATCGCACCCTCCCGTGGCGCCGCCGTTGTGAAATTAAAAATTATTTTTTTACAGAACCCTTCCCCAAAGTGTTCTAATGAACTCCCCAAAGTTTGATGGCGATCGGATGAACGATGCCAAACCAAAATCGACTTTTACTTTTATATATCGCATATAGAGAAAAAACCAATCGCGCCCTGCAGGGGCGCCACCCCTGCAAATTTGAAAATGTTTTTAGCGCAGAAACATCCCCATGAATAAATTCAACGTCTTCCCAAAGTTTCATGCCTATCGGATGAACGGTGTCACTGCAATTCACTTTTATTATTTTTATATACCGTATATAGAGAAAAATCGGACCCTCCCGTGGCGCCGCCCTTGCTAAATTAAAAATGATTTTTTACAGAACCCTTCCCTAGAGTGGTATAATGAACTCCCCAAAGTCTCATGGCTATCGGATGAACGATGCCAAACCAAAATCGACTTTTATTTTTATATACTGTATATAGACAAAAAACAAATCGCGCCCTGTCGGGGCGCCACCCCTGCGAATTTGAAAATTTTTTTTTCGCAGAAACCTCCCCAGGAATATTCTCAACAACTTCACAAAGTTTCAAGGCGATGTGATGAGAGGTGTAGTAATGCATAAAGGACAGACACACACAGACACACAAACATACATTGCTTTATATATAGATAGATATACTTTTACTAATTTTTACGTTGGTGTCACCCCCCTAAATGGTGTAACCCGGTGCGGTCTGCACCCCCGCCCTCGCTACGCATCTGGGCTCACGGCATATTGGCTCACGACTAATGGGCTCACAACATATCAGTTGCACACAAAATGACTCCCAACATCTCTGCTCCGGGAAAACTAATTCTATGACAACATTTGGCATAGACGTTACGATTTTATCAAACCCACCAACAACACGACGCAGTTACTGTCTCTGCTACCACTATAATCCCTTTAGTCTGATAGAAAAACTTCTACAAGAACCAACAGTATTTCATAAACAATTCGAGCGCTTAACAGCAAAGTGTCACAGATTTTTACACTTTTAGTAATGTTGTATTAACCCCAGTGAAGACTTGTTGCTTAAAAGCGACGACGTTTTTTTTTTGGAGCCGAAATGACGGGAGCCGTTTTGTCGGGAGCCTTAATGACAGGATCCTATTTGTCGGAAACCTAAATAACGGGAGCCTTTTTGTCGGGGCAATGAAGTGATGAGAGCATTTTGTCTGGACCGTTTCATCACTTGTCGTTTTTACGCCGCACGTACTCGCACTTACGATCATTTTATTGACCCTCTCAGGACTGTGCACATATTTCCTTAGCACAAAGATATGAAAATGTAAACAACGTGGCCCACAGTAGCGTCACAAAGCGGGGACGAAGGTAGCGGCCCGCACCGGGTAACACCATTTAGGGAGGGGGGAGGTACTTAAAATTTCCGCGGCGGAGCATTTAAAATTTCCGATGGACGGTCGACGTGTTTCTCCCTCCTGAAGAGATGCCTGAAATAAACTCTCCATACCCCCCCCCCCCCCCACACACACACACACTAAATCTGTGGTGTTATCTTTATCTACAATCACTAACCCAGCCTGTAACGTGAAATATTTATAAAAACATGTTAAAACTGTTGTGTGAAAGATTGGCAAACCTTCTTTGCCTTCTTGCACTTCTAGACATAGCTGTAAAACACGTTTAAACACATGTGAAACTACAGTGCAGTCGGAACGCGATACTGGGAGTGGGGAATGGGTCTGGGGTGAGACGAAACATGATGGACCTTCGCATGGGGGTCATCCATAAATGACGTCACGCTTTTTTGGACGATTTTTACCTCCCCCCTCCCCTCCGTCACACGTCGTCACAAAAAGCCAGACCCCCCCCCCCCCTTTAAATGACGTCACACCTCAACCTACAACCCACCCCCCCTCAAAATTGCAGTTGAATTTTTCTAAAAACATCGATATTTTTCCAAAATCTTGTCAGAACGCTGTCAACATAGAGTATTTTGATCAATTCCTATTACAATTTATCAAAACCATTTTCTAAAACGCGAAATAAGGTCTAAAATTCGTTTTATAATGTTGCTTTTTTATAATGCAAAAGTGTGACGTCGCACCATCTAAACCCCCCCTCCCCTCATCACACACCGTCACAAAATTACGGACCCCCCTCTCCCCTACGAGTGTGACGTCATTTATGGATGACCCCATGGTGGCTGTACGACCTAAGTAGTTTCCGAAGACTTGTGTCTCCCTACACTATCCAAATGCTTGCTTTCAGTCTATAAAAACACTCTTACACTAGAGAAACTTCAGACGGTGTGCTTGAGTAGTAGAGAACATGCACGAAGAGCTTAAAGTGTTTATTTCAGACATTTATCTCCTGGGTTGGGGAAAACTTAAAACTTTCGTGCGTGGGGGGGGGGGGTGTCTACACTCCCCCTCACCGGAGTTTCCTTCAGGCATCTTTTCGAAGGGGGGGGTGAAGCACGTGTCCTCCGTAAAGACTTGGTTATTAATTATGGCGACAGAGGCGTAGCGACCCTCCCGGCGTCAGGGGACAAACTTTCAATTTGCCCCCCCCCCCCATATTTTAAAAATATTTATAATACAAAACTGCAGCTAAAATTAGCTTATTTTTTTTTCAACCCACTTTAGCGCCCCTAGGGTCGGCGCCCGGGGACATATGTCCCCCCCCCCCCCCCCGTCGCTACGCCTCTGGATGGCGACAATACCCCCTTCATATGCTATGTCAAATAAATCTACTTCATCTGCCATGAGGACCACCCGATCTAAATGGAACTTTAATTTTACTAGCTGTATATTACTTCACGATTTTTAATGGGTGTGTTTATTGCCGATTTTGTAAGCTCGTTTTGATCCATTCTGTTCTCTAAATCTACTGTACACAATTAACGCCAAAAAATACTGTTGAGCACAAATGTTTATTAATAACAAAATAACTGCACAAGCTATAATAACTCTGTACACACACACTAATCGATCATTTGTTAAATAATATAGAATGACTCATAGACCTATAAATTTCTAAAACAGCGAGAAAAAAATCAGATTCTGAATTGACGGAAATATTAGACATGCAATTATTAAAGATATTAGTAACAGTATTTATTGGAAGTATAAAATACATGAACAAAATCTCACCTTCTTTCCATTCTCATCAAATGGTAATATCATTATCTAAATAAAAACCAAGGTTTATAAATGTCCAATAGCAAGTGTCAGCGTTCTCTACATGATGTTCGAGGCAGCAATGTTATACTTACAGTATTACAAAATACCGTGACATAAAACACACACACACACACACACACACACACAAACGCACACGCTGATTAGTTATGCTATTTGTAATTATTATTTTTTTTACCAAAATTTTTTTTGTTCTGATAATATATAAATCTTAGCATTGTTAAAGATTGAAAAGATTTCTAAAAAAATAATGCTCCATCATTTAGTGAATTTCCTTTTGGAAGCATATACAATTGAAAATGAGGCGAGAAAAAATAGAAGCAAGCTAAATGGAAAAATAAATTAATAAATTAATTAAAAATAAGCAAACCACTCCAATATAGAACTAATAATATCACTAGTTTTGGTATGGACTTGTACTGTTACACGCCTGTCTAAAAGTGACAAGATTGGGTCACAGGGGCGGAAAAAACCATACCGCCAGACCCCGCAATGCGGGGGGGGCCCAGGACGTTTAGGGGCCCAGTTCCGACCAAAAAACAATGCATTTTTTTTTCAAAAATTATGTTTTCATGCATCTTGAAAGTGGTTTTGTAAAAAAAAAAACAAAAAAAAAAAAAACAGGTCTACTATAGCAGAGATTGTTGCGTAGAAAAATATTTTAAAATCTACAAGAGCTATAGTTTGAAAGGTAGGTAAACATTCACACTACTTCCATGACTTACTGCCCTTCTTTAAAATAGGGATGCCCACGAAGCTCATTTAAATAGTTTTGTACTATGTATATTAAAAAGCAATTGATTCTCTGAATTGTTACTTAAATAAGACGTACTATACAACAGTATAGCTATAAAAATCAATGTTTTCAAAATTGATATTATAAAAGCCAAAAATGAAAAAAATAAACATAACGCGAGAAACCATTCACGAATCAAACTAACGTCTTTATATATTTTTGATCAGCATGGTTAAGACGTTATTTCTAACTTACATTGAGTTTGGACTAAATTTTTTCTGTTTTGTTCTCTCAGAATGGTTATATGTTGCAATGAAGTTAACTAAATTACTCAGGATATAGATCATATATATATATATATATATATATATATATATATATATATATATATATATATATAGGGGGCCCTAGATTTTTCTTTGCGGGGGAGCCCTTGATTTCTAGTTCCGCCACTGTTGGGTCATCATTCTTCAGGTGTAATACGTAAATACTTTTTTTTTAAAAATATGAATATGATATATTCCACCCACATTTAATAGTCACAATAATGATTTAAATGATTTATAATGCAGCAGATCTATAAACTGTTGTAGCCTTACGAGGCGGGGGGGGGGGGTGCGGACCGTACCAGGTGACAGTTTAAATGGTGCCAAAAAATTAGCACATTCAATGATAACGTCTTTTGTTTTTTTCATTTATAATTATTGACATACATGGAAGCAATCGCAAAATTGGGCATTGAGAAGATTCACATAAAGTATAATTAGATCTATGAACAAAACGTCGTCAACTTAAAGATCTCTATCCTTTTTGTAATTATCATTTTTATCTTTCTCTTTATTAACTTCGCCGTTTACTACGTCGTCTGCATCAAAATCCTCATTTTCTTCTCTATAAGTTTCCTCTACATAGTCTTCCATGCTCTTTTTTAATTCATCTTCAACATCATCGTTACCTCCTTCGTTTTCCAGATCTTGGTCAGTTTCGCCAACAGTGTGTATGGTTTCTCTGTCTGTAGTTTCGGAACGTCGGTTCAGTTTTTTACGTTTGGCTTTCTGGGAAGAAAGCGCCTCGCATGCTATTTGAATCTCACTGAATTTATCTTGTGCTTCGTCTTTGTCTTTTTGGTCCTTGTATCGGTCAGGGTGATACTCTTTGCTCAAACTGCGACATCGAATTCTGATTTCTTTTTCACTTGCAGTTAAGCTCAGGTTTAGAATCTGTTAATAGAAATCGGTGAATTTAATGTTAGAAGTAGGCTTACAATTTTTTGTTTTGTTTAAAAGCGTTTAGACTTTTAACTAATTCTATAATAGCATATTGCTAAATAAAATAACAATTCGGTGTAAGGGGGCGGAAGGGAGCACCATACTGGGTATAACAAAATAAAAAGTTCATTCTAAGCTCCATTATTGGAGTATACACTGTCAAAGTTAGGAAAATATTAGGAAAATAGACGGCTATATGGCGTTACAGACTGGTGTAACAGTTTTTCTTTATCGATTGGGTGACACCAAAGGTGACACAATATGATAGTGACTAATAAAAAGCGCCAGAAATCTTTCCTAATTTGTGTGTGGGTGGGGGGCGCTTTTTTTGGGCCAACTATAATAACTATATATGGGCCTAATTGATATTTCGCCCCGGGCTCGTGATTGGGTAGCTGGGCCTCTTTGGGGGGGGGGGGGGGGGAGGTTTAAGTGCATGGATTTGGCTACTAGAGTTTCAGGTATCTCTTCGGGGGGGGGGGGGGGGGAGGGGGCAGCCCAAAAAATTCTCTCTCTCCCCCCCCCCCAACGAAATAGAATAAAATATATTTAATAAAGAAAATATAGAGCTTACTTTGACAAGTGTCCACCCCCTCCAGGAAAGTTAATTGCCCCCCTCCTACTAAAGTTTCAAGGTGACCCCCTTTCCCCCCCCCCCCCCCCCCCCCCCCACGCCCGAGAAAATATCTGAAATAGGACACTGGTAGGTTCCCCTTTCAGACACTAAGAATTGTAATTTAAAAAAAAAAGCTTACGTAGTATGCTTTGTTTTGTCCTTTCACGTCAAATATATCTTTCATCTGAAACAGCAGCTCCTCTATTCCGTCATGTTCTAAAGTGTGGTATACGTTTTTCAAATTCCCCACCGGGTTTTCCCAAACAGATGATCTGTAAATATTTTTAAAAACGTCCCCAAGGGGAATTTCCTCACCATCAATTTCAATACTTGTGTTGTAGTGTAGGCCATATGCCAGAACAGACAACCACATCAAACAACAGAAGAAATACTTCGAGGCACCAAACAGGCGATTCCGTCTGGCCCTTCTTCGACGTTTTAATCCTCTTGATAAGATTAGCAATGGGGAAATAAAACAGCAAATATTATTCCCAAAGGGTAACGGAGTTTTAAATACAGAGCTGCCGTCATCCATAATCCATAATAGATGGCGGAGAATGCAGCAATGTTTCTGGCATTTACGGGTGTGGTTAGATCTTCGATGTGGGACACAAAGTACACGCCTGTGAAATAGAAAGAAAATTAATGTTAAAAAAAATTTTGATAAGAAACATTGAATGTTTAATTAATTTGCTAATTAATAACCTACATGTTAATTTAAATCACTTAGAAAATCGACTCTCATCAGCACTGATTTATGACATGTGGATTTTACTGTTATCATGGGGTTTTCCTCATACAACACCCCCCCCCCCAAATACACACACACACATATTCATATCGTAGTTGCCAATGTCTTTCATTTGGTTTTGTTGTAAATTTTTATTCAAAAAAAAAAAAAGAAGCAATCCCCCTATGTAATTCTGTTTGCCTAACTCAATTTTTTGTAAAGTTGACGTATTTATATTATAAGAAACTAGCAGACGACAGTAGTGATAAGTGGGTAATGAGAACGGGCACGTGGTATTAGTATTCGATTATTTCAGTTGCTGTGTGTTCTGTTTCAAGGTAGTGTTAATTTTTAAAAATAATATTTAAAAAAAAATAAAAAGGCACAAAAAAAACACAACTGTTTCTCTACTTATCTACATGCTTTTCTTCAGCATAGACATTATAATTAAACTATTTTATCCGTAGATAACATGAAGTTTTTCAAACACCGTTAGTGGTTTAAATCAACTCCATTTGATGACTATGGTGTTCCTAGCCTTGTAACCAGGGACCCAGTGCACGCGTATGTACAATCACATACAGTGTTTCTTCCAGACTATTTTCTCCGGGGGGGGGGGGGGGCGGTAGACTTTCTTTGGGGGGGGGG